TATTGGCCCCCACTCTCTTCTGGCTTGTAGGGTTTCTACAGAGGTATCTGCTGTTAGTCTGATGGGCTTCCCTTTGTGAGTAACCCAACCTTTCTCTCTGGTTGCCCTTAGCACTTCATTAATGTTATAAATTGTGGTGTTTATAATCGAGAAATAAATACCACACTTGACAGTGTTTATTTCCAAAGAATTGCTTATTTTCATCCTTTTTTTATTCCTGCTATTCTCATATATCATCCTGTTAAACATGTGAGCAGAGAGTATATTATCCATATTTAATTTACAGTCATAGACTAAGTTATTATCCAATGTTACTGAGAGAATTAGTTGTACAGATAGAAATGAATTAGTTCCTAGTGTACAATTTTCTTCGTCTTTCTCTTAATCAGGTTGCTTTCTTAGAGAAATGAACTGATCTGACTATCATTAAGATCATTTATTGCTAGACAGAAGTAAAGTTAGGGATTATCTACAGAACATTTTCATCTTGTAATTTATTTGGTGTGTTGTAGAACAGCTGATTTTTCTCATTGTATTTGGTAAATGTGCTAAAAATGTTAGTCAATGTTATCTAGTTTTATTATTTTATCTCTCTCTTGAGCCATGTTTGGCATATGTGTGTTGGGGGGATGGGCATAGGAGTTACACATTTAAGGAAGCCTTATCTTTTAGTTGAATAAATTAATGCAAATTGGCCTGTCTTCTTGCCTGCCTGTTCAGTAACAGTGGACTTTGGATATTGATCTAGTGATGATAAACCTGTTGTATGTGGCATAGGCTGGAGAAGTCAGTTTTGATAGCAAGTTTCTACTTTGGTGTGAAAGAGAAGAATTTAGTTAACATTTCAAAGGAACTAAACCCATTAGCATCTATGTATTCTACCAGTAGATTTTATTGAGTCCTCTCATTTGTATGGTCTTTTATTGTTTTCTGTTTTCAACAAAGGAAATAGCACACACAGACATTTCAAAATGCATTTTACCTGTAATCTCAGTATTTTGGGAGATCGAGGTAGGAGGATCACTTGAGGCCAAGAATTTGAAACCAGCCTGGGAAACATAGTGAGATCCTATGTCTACAAAATTTTTAAAATCTGCCATGTACAGTGGTATACACCTGTAGTCCTAGCTACTCAGGAGGCTCAGGCAGGAGTATCACTTGAGCCGAGGAGTTCAAGGCAGCAGTGACCTATGACCATACCACTGCACTGCAGCTTGGGTGACAGAGCAGGACCCTATCTGAAAAGAAAAAAAAAGGAAGAAGAATTATGACGTTTCAATTATGGTTATATCTGTTAAGAAAATTCTGGGCCGGGTGTGTTGGCTCATACCTGTAATCCCAGCACTTTGGGAAGCCAAGGCCGGCAGATCACAAGGTCAGGAGATCGATACCATCTTGGCTAACATGGTGAAACCCTGTCTTTACTAAAAATACAAAAAATTAGCCAGGCATGGTGGCATGTGCCTGTAGTCCCAGCTACTCAGGAGGCTGAGGCAGGAGAATGGCTTGAACCCAGGAGACGGAGGTTGCAGTGAGCCGAGATCGTGCCACTGCACTCCAGCCTGGGCAACAGAGCAAGACTCCATCCCCCTCAAAGAAAAAGGGTCAGTTCTGTTACGAAAGGAAATAATTGTTTTGAATGTTTATTGGAGTAGCAAGATAGAAAGCTGTTTACAAGATATTAAATATCAGAATATTTGGAATTCGTGTCAGCATTTGCTATTATATAGAAAAAAAACTTAGGGCCTCGTGATTTCAATTTTTCATCTTGAGTTATTTAATACACATTTGAGTTCTTACCACTTTTTGGACCCTATACTCAAGGCATGGTTGAATAAGTAAAGGCATAATTATTTTCAAATGTGGGCTTTGTCTATGTAAAAATTATCGATGCATTAAGCATCACTACATGCAGATTAAATTTGAATTCAGTGTGCTATATATATACCTCCGCTACCTTCATTTGATCAGTAATTATGTCCTTTCACTAAATTCACACTCAATTTAGAAAGTGTGATCTAGGAGAACTTGTTAAAAGCTATGGAAAATCCTTCTGTAAAGTGAATTAATTTGCCTTTTATAGATCGAGGTTTTCATATGTTATTTCTTAATGAACAACTTATGAATATATTAAATTTATTAAAAGTAAAATATCTGTGATTCACTTTAAACCCCCACCCCATCTCTCTTTGTGTCTCATTCTCACAGTTATAATTTCACAGAGCAGGAGTTTAGCGTTCTTACCGAGTGTATAAATGATTCCAATTTTTTCAGCTTTTAATTTTTTAATCTTAAAAGATTGGCTTAAGCTACCATGATTTCTTAAAAATATATATACTGTGATAAATTGAAAAATGTATATCAATTTAAATTTGACCCATGAGTCTTTACAGTGTAATTTACATTTGACCTTTCTGCAGTTGGAATATAAGCCTGATATGTTCCAGCTAAACTGTCCTGTAACTGTTTAGATTAATTTAGATTCGTTTTTTTATTAGTATATTTGTTGGTAGCTAAAGTGATTGTGAAAATAAAGTTGTTTATTATGTATAAATAGGAGTAGCCATGATTTCTAGCATAGGCATCCAATATAATCACTACTTTAAGCATACTTATTTTAGCATTTATCAACTCAGAATTAAGCACAAAACAAAATGCGTGTGAAAAAAATGTTAAGTTGGTAGAAATACCTTGAAAAGTGGTCATTTTAAAAAAATTGAAGGCCTAAAACATACTGTATAAACGTGAATGTCTTATATAAGAGGCTGGTGTTACATGTTTTGTTGCTGTTTTCTTAGTAATTGTCATATTTTTCAGAAATATACATAGCAATCAGGTTCTGGTTTCTAGTACAGTGGACCATAGAACTCTGGAGATACTATACTATTCAGAGGGAGAAAATAATTGTCTGTTATTTCAACCCCTCTAAACAGGATACCATACTTGCAGAACTCCTTCAGATACATAAAGAACACATTGTAGGATATCATGAACATGATTCTCTTTTGGACCACAAAGAAGAAGAAGAGTTGACTGAAGAAGAAAGAAAAGCAGCTTGGGCTGAGTATGAAGCAGAGAAGAAGGTAGTTGATGCAAAATGCGTTTTCGTTTTTGTCATGTTAGTAATTTGAAAGCAATGAAGAAAAAAAGGGTCACATTTGAAACAGGTAATAATAATATAGTGGGTTTTAGGAACACAGTTCCCAATTACAAGAATCTCTTTATGGGTTGATTTCAACTACCTTTGGTGGTAGAGTAGGAGGAGAAGACAGAAGAAAATAGTTTACACTTAAAAGAGTGGTAACCCTATTTCTGCTTAGTATTTATTGAATTGAGTGATGAGTGGGAAGCCATATATTTAGCATCAGTACCCTCTCTGTAGTAAAAAACATAAAGGAGCTTAGAGTTTGGAGGTGGAAATAAATGTAACTTTAGCATGTATACCATGAAATCTAAATTTTGGCTGAATATCAGAACACAAAAATATTTCATTATTAGACGTTAATGCCATTTGCTCCAGCAGCAGCTTTATTTAAGATGATTCTATGTTTTAAACATCAACCCACTTGAGCAAAAATGTGCCTGAGCATGGGAAACCTTATCTTAATACCTGAATCCTTTTCAAACTCCTAACTTACTGTACCAAACTTCTTCTAACATTAATGTGATGTTCAGAGTCTCATCAGAATTCTCTGAGTTGCCCTTATTCTGTGGGAATTATCAGAAAAAAAGTACACCTTTATGGGTTAAAGCTTTCCGTGTAATAAGATCTTGCTTTTCGGTGAAAAGGGTGTTTTGTTTGTGTGTGGAAGAGTGTTAATAATTTCCTGGATTTGAGAATGTGGATTCTTTTCTAAACCAGTAGGTGATGTAGAATTTCAAGTTTTAAATCACAATGTGAAAAGTACATATTTTTTTTGTTTTTAGGGACTGACCATGCGTTTCAACATACCAACTGGGACCAATTTACCCCCTGTCACTTTCAACTCTCAAACTCCTTATATTCCTTTCAATTTGGGTGCCCTGTCAGCAATGAGTAATCAACAGCTGGAGGTAAGTTGTGAAGTACAAAAGTAATTTAACATGAATTAAAGGCAATTTCAAGTGCCTTGTTGTTGAGGGTTCACCATGCAGGAATATCACATTCTCCAAAAGATTACCTCTGAATAGACCAAGAAATTTTTCTTTTATTTGTTGACTGTTTTGAACTAACATAATGTTGTAAAATGTGGTTTGTTCAGAGCACAAAGGAATCAGTTGGTGAATTAATGTACTTTGAATTATTTTAATTAAGAAACAATAGGGCTGCTGACCAGCTTGGGGAAATAGCACCTTCTTCAGTTATAAAATATTTATAATAAACAAATTCCTATCTTACTGCTTAAAAGTAAGATAAAATATACTCATTAATTTCTATTTTAGTGCATTATAGATGTACACTTAAATATATAATGCCCAATATTATGAAATAAATTATTTAAAGCTAGAATCACCTGTAAATTAAATAGGAAAGATTGGGTTTTTATTATACCAATAATGACTTAGTTAAATCTGAAACACATTATAAAATGTGCTTATGGATTCATCTAAATTATGAAATTATTGGTGTGATAAGACTCAAACTTTTATCTTCTTAACAAGACCCTTTGGACATTGATACGTTTTACTTCACTTTATTGACACTGAATTTTGCTATTTTCTTCAATTATTTAAAGAGGTTTAAAAACAACTGCTATAAATTGGCAAATGGAAGGATTCCTATACTTTAACACTGTGCTGTCTTTCTGCCTTATATAACTTATTTTTTGCATTCTCCTAGGACCTCATTAATCAAGGAAGAGAAAAAGTTGTGGAAGCAACAAACAATGTGACAGCAGTGAGGATTCAACCTCTTGAAGATATAATTTCAGCTGTCGTAAGCTAATTGGCAATTGTCTTATTCCAACCTCCAGTTTGTGCCCTCCACCCCCAACTGCCATTTGTTTTAATTTTTAATTGTTTCCTTTACTTCTTATAACTTGATTTGCAATAGTAAAATATTAGTAGAATGGATGGATAATAGTGCCAAGCTGTAACCCAGCAATTTTGCATAGGTGTTGGCACAAATGAGAAATGGGTGAAATATAAGAATTGAGAAATCAAAAATCAAACATGGAAATGTATGTATTGTTTACATAAACATTTTAATTACCAGTTACACAAATTAAATCTAAATTATTGTTTCATTCCAGAGATAGCCGGCCCAAGCACATCAGTGAACAACTTAGTGTACCGTGTTTTTGAATTATGTTTTTCTTTAGAAAAGAATAAAGGAAAATGGGGGAAAACCTTGGAAAATCCCAAATATCTTTAAATACCTTAATTATTTTTCCTCAATTGTGCAGTACTAAGGAATAAATAGAAAATTTTTCTTTTAGTGGAAGGAAAACATGAATCTCTCAGAGGCCCAAGTACAGGCGTTAGCATTAAGTAGACAAGCCAGCCAGGAGCTTGATGTTAAACGAAGAGAAGCAATCTACAACGATGTATTGACAAAACAACAGATGGTAAGAATTCTGACTATTTCTAGGTTATGTTTAATTTTCTTGAATTTGTAATAATAGGTTTGTATGACATCTATATCAGTAATTATTCCTACTATGGATGGATGGATGGTCATTGGTAATTCTGGAAGAAATGTAAAAAACCCAGGAATGTCAAGTAAATGTAATATATTTTGTTACAAAAAAAGAACAGCTACCCAAAGGAATCCTGGAAGTTTACATAGGATCTAGTCCATATAATTTTATTTCTCATATATTCTAGACATCTCTGTAGGAATTTTTGCCAGAGTTTTATCACATTTGCCATTTTTATTTTATTTAACTTTTAATTTTTGTGGGTATATAATAGGTATATATACTTATGGGGTACATAAGGCATATTGATATAGGCATACAGTGTATAATAATCACATCAGGGTTAAAGATTATCATATCAAGCACTTATTCTTTCTTTGTGTTACAGACAATCCAATTATATGCTTCTAGTTATTTTTAAATGTGCAATAAATTATTTTCGACTATAGTCACCCTGTTGTGCTTTCAAATACTAGATCTTATTCATTCTAACTATACTTTCATACCTATTTACCATCCCCCATTCCTTCATTCCCTGCTACCCTTCTCAGCTTCTGGTAACTACCATTCTACTCTGTCCCCATAAGTTCAATCGTTATAATTGTTAGCTTCCAGAAATAAGAGAGAACATGTGAACTTTGTCTTTCTATGCCTGGCTTATTTCACTTAACGTAATGATCTTCAGTTCCATGCATGTTATTGCAAATGGCAGTATCTTGTTCTTTTTTATGGCTGAATAGTACTTCGTTGTGTATGTGTACTACATATTCTTTATTCATTCATCTGTTGGTGGACACTTAGGTTGCTTCCAAATCTTAGCTATTGTGAACAGTGGCTACAATAAACATGAGAGTGTAGATACCTCTTCAATATATTGATTTCCTTTCATTTGAATATAGACCTAGCAGTGGGATTTGTAAATCATATGATACCTCTATTTTTAGTTTTCTGAGGAACCTCCAAACTGTTCTCCATAGTGCTTGTAGTAATATACGTTGCTAACAACCGTGTGCGTGAGTTTCCTTTTCTCCACATCCTTACTAACATTAATTATTGCCTGTCTTTTGGATAAACACCATTTTAACTGGGGTAAGATAATATCGCATTGTCTTTTTTTGTTTGGTTGGTTTTGTAGAGATGGGGTCTCACTATATTTCCCAGGCTGGTCCCAAACTCTTGGGCTTAAGCAGTCCTCCCGCCTCGGCCTCCCAAAGTGCTGGGATTACAGGCATGAGCTACCATGCCCAGTTTCTCATTTTAGTGTTGATTTGCATTATCTAATGATTGATGATGTTGAGTACCTTTTCCAATGTCTGTTTGCTATTCGTATGTCTTCTTTTGAGAAATGTCTGTTCAGATCTTTTGCCCATTTTAAAATCTGATTATTAGATTTTTTTTTTTTCCTATGAAGTTGTTTGAGCTCCTTATATATTCTGGTTAATAGTCCCTTGTCAGTTGGATAGCTTGCAAATATATTTCTGGCATTCTGTGGGTTGTCTCTTCACATCGTTGATTGTTTCCTTTGCTGTGCAGAAGCTTTTTAACTTAATGGTATCCCATTTGTCCATTTTTGCTTTGGTTGCCTGTGCTTGTGGGGTATTACTCAAGAAATCTTTGCCAGTTCAATGTCCTGGAGTTTGCCCAATGTTTTTCTGTAGTAGATTCATAGTTCGAGGTCTCAGATTTAAGTCTTTAATCCATTTTGATTTGAATGTTGTGTATGGCAAGAGATAGGGATCTACTTTCATTGTTCTGCTTTCATTGTTTCATGGGTATCCAGCTTTCACAGCACCATTTATTAATGAGACTGTCCTTTCTCCAATGCATGTTCATGGCACCTGTGCCAACAATGAGTTCACTAGTGTGTGGATTTGTTTCTGGGTTCTCTCTTCTGTTCTCTTTGTCTATGTGTCTGTTTTTATGCCAGTACTATGCTGTTTTGTTTACTGTAGTATAATTTGAAGTCAGGCAATGTGATTCCTCCAGTTTTGTCTTCTGCCAATTACAACTTTGCCTATTCTGAGTCTTTTGTGGTTCCATGAAAATTTCAGGACTTTTTTTATTTCTGTGAAGAATGTCATTGGTATTTTGGTAGGGATTGCATTGTATCTATAGATGGCTTTGGATAGTATGGGCATTTTAACAGTATTAATTCATCCATTCCATGAACATAGAATATCTTTCCATTTTTTGTACCCTCTTCCATTTCTTTCATCAACATTGTATAGTTTTCATTGTGGAAATCTTTCATTTCTTTTGTTAAGTTTATTCCTAAGTATTTAATTTTGACTGTGGCTACTGTAAATGCAATTACTTTCTCGATTTCTTTTTCAGATTATTCGCTGCAGGCATATAGAAACACTGCTGGTTGTGTATGCTGCCACTTTACTAAATTTGTTTATCAGTTCTTAAATGTTTTTGCTGGAGTCTTTAGGTTTTTCCAAATGCCACATCATATCATTTGCAAACAAGATAATTTGACTTCTTCTTTTCCAACTGGGATGCCCTTTATTTCTTTCTCTTGTCTGATGGCTCTAGCTATGACTTTCAGAACTATGTTGAGTAACAGTGGTGAAAGCTGACATCCTTGTTGTGTTCCAATTTTTAGAAGAAAGTCTTTCAGTTTTTCCCCATTGAGTATGATATTGGCTGTGAGTCTGTCAGTATATGGCTTTTATTGTGTTGAAGCATGTTCCTGCTATAGCTGGTTTTTTGAGGGTTTTTTTTTTTTTTATCATGAAGGGATGTTGAATATTATCAAATGTTTTTTCAGCATCAATTGAAATGATCACACGGTTTTTGTCCTTCATTCTGTTGATATGATGTATCACATTGATTGATTTGCATATGTTAAATCATCCTTGCAGCCCTTGGATAAACCCTACTTGGTCATGTTCAGCAACAGCTTTTTAATGTGTAGTTGAATTCTGTTTGCTAGTATTTTGTTGAGGATTTTTGCATGAATGTTCATCTCGGATATTGCCTTGTAGTTTTTGTTTTTTGATATGTCTGTCTGGTTTTGGTATCAGAGTGTTAACTGGCCTTGTAGAATGTGTTTGAAGTATTCCCTTCTCTACTTTTCACAATTGTTTGGGGAAAATTAATATTCTTCTTTAAACGTTTGGTAAAATTCAGCAGTGAAGACATTGGTTTCCAGGCTTTTCTTTGCTGGAAGACTTTGTATTACAGCTTTGATCTCATTACTTAGTAACTGGTCCGTTCAGATTTTGGATTTCTTCATGTTTCAGTCTTGGTGGATTGTATGTGTCTAGGATAATTTATCCATTTCTTCTAGGTTTTCTAATTTTTTAGTATCATTTCTATGGTATCAGTTTTAATGTCTACTTTTTAATATTTGATTTTATTTGAATCTTCTCTTGTTTTTCTTAGTCTGACCAAAGGATTGTCAATTTTATCTTCTCAAAAAACCAACTTTTTATTTATTTCTGCACTGATTTTATTTATTTTACTAATTTGGGGTTTTGTTTTCTTATGTTTTTCTAGTTCTTTAAGATGCATTGGTAAGTGTTTAATTGAAGTTTTTATTCTTTTCTGATATACACATTTAGAGCTGTAACCTTTCTCTTAGTATGCTTTTGGTGTATCCCATAGGTTTTGTATGTTGTGTTTCCTTTATCATTTGTTTTTTTGTTTGTTTGTTTGTTTTGAGATGGAGTTTTGCTCTTGTTACCCAGGCTGGAGTGCAATGGCGCGATCTCGGCTCACCGCAACCTCCNTTTTTAGTAGAGACGGGGTTTCACCATGTTGACCAGGATGGTCTCGATCTCTTGACCTCGTGATCCACCCGCCTCGGCCTCCCAAAGTGCTGGGATTACAGGCTTGAGACACCGCGCCCAGCCCCATTTGTTTTTAAGAAATTTTTCAATTTTCTTCTTAATGTCTTCATTGACCCACTGGTCATTCAGGAGCATATTGTTCAATTTTCATGTTTTTATATAGTTTCAAAAATTCCTCTTGTTATTGATTTCTAGTTTTATTCCCTTGTGGTCAGAGAAGAAACTTGATATGATTTCACTTTGATTGTTTTAAGACTTGTTTTGTGGCCTAACATATGGTCTTTCCTTGAGAATGATGTATGTGTGAGGAAAAGAATGTATATTCTGTGACCATTGGATGAAATGTTCTGTAAATATCTATTTGGTCTCTGGTGCAGAGTAAGTCCACTGGGTTTTGTTGTTGTTGTTGGTTTTCTGTCTCAATGATCTGTCCAATATGTAAAGTTGAGGTGTTGAAGTCTCCAGCTATTATTATTTTGGAGTCTGTCTATTTAAATAGAATAATATTTACTTTCTATATCTGGTGCTCCAGTGTTGGATGCACATATATTTACAGTTGTTGTATCTTGTTACTGAATTGACCCCTTCATATTATATAATGACCATCTTTGTCTCTTGAAGTCTATTTTGTCTGATATAAATATAGCTAGTCCTGCTCTTTTTTTTTTGTTTCCATTTTCATGAAATGTCTTTTTTCATCCCTTTATTTTTAGTTTATATGTGTCTTTATATAGGTAAAATGTATTCTTATAGGAAACAGATGGTTAGGTCTTTTTTTAAAAATCCATTCAGACACTATATGTCTTTTGATTGGAGAGTTTAGTCCATTTATATTCAATGTTATTCTTTTTTTAAACTTTCATTTTAAGTTCATGGATACATATGTGGATTTGTTATATATGTAAACCTGTGCCACAGGTTTGTTGTACAGATTATTTAATCACCCAGGTATTAAGCCTAGCACCCATAACTTATTTTTTCCTGATTATCTCCCTCCTCCCACACTGTACCCTCTGGCCACTCTCAGTGTCTGTTGTTGCCCTCTATGTGTTCATGTTTAGCTCCCGCTTATTGGTGAAAACATGGTATTTGGTTTCCCGCTTATTGGTGAAAACGTGGTATTTGGGTAGG